TTAGTTGCATCTCTGGAAAGTAATATTGACTGTCGTGGTGGAACTATAACTACTTCACAGTCATTAATGCTTATTAGAGTAGTAGCGTTGGAGTATAAACCAATCAAAGCGCAGGTCTGAGTACCCAAAAGGATTTTTAATTTCTATCTTACATTATAGGAAATTTATATTATAAGAGTATAAATTTGAAAACTAGGCACATCATCATTTGCTTTTTCTTTTAATGTCTTAAATTTCGTTAGCAAGTATGTAAAATGCCTTCCATTTTATGTTAAAAACGTCGATAAACCAGCAGTTATGTATTTACCAGAATAATATTTTTTGGTGTTACAGTAAAAATTATAGAAAAAAATGAACGAACAATTTTCGATTTCCAGTGGTTTTGTGTGCTTTTAAGTATAAAATTTGTATTGTTTAAATTTTCCAAGACAGTATCAGTTTTAGTTATTGTTAGGATCTCAGCCAAGATTAAATTGCAACTTTTGATATGAGGTCAGAATTATTTTCATAGCTAGTGTAAAAATTATGTGTCATACTGTCTATTCATTTAGCTCGTACACATTTGAAGTTTAATATAACTATCCAAGGTTTAATATATCAAACGATTTTAGTGCTGTTGAAAACGACATATCTGATGAGTAATTGTTATTTCAGACTAAATAACGAAAGTTTAATACCCTGAAATCGTACTAAAGGAGTCGAAATCATTCAATTGCTATGTTGAGGGTTGAAGAGCACACAGCTTCTTTTTGCTACGTAACGTAATAGAAGAAAATTTAACACTCGATTAAATACAAAATTTACGAGTTATATTGCGCTGATGAGCTGCACGCATGATTGCACACCAAGTATAAAAGTCAATTCATTTACTGTTAAGAAAACGTCTTAAGCTAATCGAGACAAATTAAAAAGAATATTCCCCTCGTGACAGAAGTGACCAGAAGGACTCCGGCCACAGGCTTTAGTACTGATTTTAGAGAGAAGATACATACGTAACCATTTGCAATTGTCACTTTATTAACGCGAATTAATAAATTTTTGTATAATACTGTTATCAACAACACCCACCTAAATAACTTTCATACAATTAACAACAGTTCTTATATGGTACAAACTATGTGAACTATAATTGCGCATTTGCTACTTCCAAAAATTAAGTTATTTAGGTTTCGAAACCCATTTACAAGTTTTAATATTCCTTGTCTAAGTTATGGAGATATTTATTTCAAGTTTGTGTTAATATTTTTATTGATACGGGCATGTTTATCACAAATGATGTTAAATTTCAGTAATGAATAACACGTAAAATGCACTTTTGGTTTGCTTTACTAAATATTTACGTCCATTGTGTTAAGATGCACAAATATTCGCGACAGCATGTGCGTAAATTAAGTGCATATATAATAATTATACATATAAATAAAATGAAATATGCATGAACGGATGTGCGTGTGTATTTCCACTTCGTATTTAACCAAATTAATTGTAGTGGTGTCTGCCCTTAACAAACGATATCATAGGGTACTCATACACAATAAATCGTTCAATCTCATTGCACTCCGATTCATTTGATTACTCATATGAAACCAATCTGTTTATGCATTACTTGTTAATAAAATTCGTATAAATTTGAATAAAAGCTGAAAGAGGATTAATATCGCTTCGATGTATTCAAAATTGGACATTTAAATACATAAAAAAAAAATACTTGTAACTTTTTTTTAAATAGTCTAGATTGAGAGTGGTTTCAATACCACTCCTGCCGAATGTAACGCTATTTTGTGTTCACAGGTTTTTCTTATTTTAAATTCATTGAGCAAATAATTTAAATTCTTTCACACTGTGCAAGTAAAAATATAGTTTCAACAAAAACGATGATGATCAGAAAAATTCTTATAATCAAATTATTCAACATTTACTAACTTACCTACACAATACAGATCTTTTTTTTGTTGCCGTAAAGAAACAATATCTTGTATAAAGTGACGGGTTTGAAATTTATAAATCACTGTTCCGCGTCGCAAATGTCTTTGTTTAAAAAAAGATGAGGAGGTTTTGCCATTGCACTCTACTATAATCAACCTTATGCACCAATAGTGAAATTTATATTTGTCGGAATTTAGGGTTTTTGTTTGGTGTCAGTTTGATAAGTTGTTTTGCAAACTTTTGCAGGACAATGCATTCCATTCTGAAGAACAATTGGATTAAAAAAATTCCTACCTTGATTTTGTTGACACTATGTTATTTCGATCGTTGCGCTTATTGGACACTCGTTAGTTGTGGGCTAACAATGAGTAATACGTAAGCATCCGTACACTCTTCTATGCGTGCTTTTTATTTATGTTAATCAGTTTATCATCTCATTTGTGTGTGGAAATTTTGCAAATCTTTTTGGGAATAATTTTGTCATTTACGATCGATCGTCCTATATATCGGCAGATATGCTTGTTTTCTTTTTTTTCTATTAGCAATTTCCTATCGTTAATATATAGATTATATATGCGTAATTTCTTGGCCAAAATTAACTTAAATAATCAAAAAATCTGGGAGAATAAAGACTTACTCTTATAATAAGCCTTTACACGTACAAACCAATAAACTGTGATTTTGCCGATCAGTGATAGTCTCATGTCGCAAATGGAATGTGTTCAATCGGTGTTGGTCATTATACAACAAAAATGTTTTTTGAATAAATAAATGTTATACTCTTAATTCAACTTCACCATCGAAATATACAGAAAGCATTATAGTTATGTGAGCCGAGAAACAACTTATTATTTACAAGAGAACACCAATCTGTACTTTGGTGTTGCCAAGTCGTTTATGTGAAATGCAAGTTTATGTGTTGGAATGATCGCCTTTTGCTGGTTACAGATCAGTGGTTGTAGGCATCACGTTTTGGTAACTTCATTTCCGGCATGTTATTTAATCGAGCATGACTGACGATCGGTTGGGTTCGTTTTGTTCCGGATGTGGAGAATTTTATTGGTATAGAAACTAACAGGGGTTGCATTATTAGAACGCAACCCTTTCATTCAGTCGCATATGCTGATCAGTGAAGCGTATCCATACTTCAAGCGATTTGTGATCATTGAGTAATATTAATTGTTATTATGCATTTATGAATTTTTAGGGGTGCCAAATAGATAGTGATAAAGAGCAATTCATTTGCATTATTAGTGAATACATTGCAAAGCTTCCAATAGTTTGTTGATAATCGATACAGGTGTTTTATTTCATAAAAATTTATGGGCTTTTTAGAATTAAGGTAACCAGAGTGTTGGTTGCTAACTTTTCATTTCGGTATTTAGCTTGTGTATTGTACAGTTAAAAATGTTTTTGCGAAAGTTATCTGTTTGCATTAAAATGGTCTCAGCTACTTTGTCTAATGGGAAACAAATGATTTGGTTTGGTATCGATTTATCCACGTCCGTCGGTTCTATTGTTGAATATCTCAAAACCGTAGATATTGAAGTAAAAAACTGCAGTTTAGCGAATATAGTTTCATTTAATGCATTAATGTTTCGCATAAGTTTTTTTAAGAAATTCATCCATTCGTTCATAGTATTCCACAAAAGCGTTGTTGGCTTGTTAAGTTGATTGGCTTAATGTGCATGTGTATTAAATGATTTCCCGCCTATTAAAAGGGGTTAAGTTATCGCATTTAGCTAATCCAGTTGGTTGCAGTTCAATACATTTAACTGTGTTAGGCTTGTCATGCGATCAGAAAATTGTTTTCTTATCGTTAAAGAAATTAATTTGATATGTAAAACCAATATTATACTAATTTATTAAATTATATGCCACATTAAACGTGGATAGTCTAAAGTTGTGTACCAAGATATGCAAAGTGTTCCAGTTTGGTTATTTATATTTGGAAAATGACTTGAAACATTGTAGAACGCAACATTTGTTTGAACAGAGTTAGGATATATGCCTTAATTATAAAACAAATCTAATGTATAGATTTCATTTTTTTTATTATAGATCTTCTTGCGCGTAAATCACGCTGGTTATGGTCAGTTTTGACACTTTTGCGATGAATAACTGGACATATTCAATTCTTCTCTGAATAAATTCAAAATTCGAAATGGTCCGCGCAAACTTTGAATACTTCTCTCAAATTTTTGCTCTCCATTTGAAAGATTGATACACTATGGACAAGAGCAAGTACGCCCCGTGTGTTACTTATGTTTAACGAATTTATATAATCTTAATTTTTAGGTATAGAATATGATATATGTGAAGTATAATAAATAAACAAACAAGCAGCCAAATTATTCGGTTTGCAAAGACGAAACAAGGAGAAAAAGGCAGAGGGTTCATTAAAGCAAAAGGTTGACATTTATTACAGAGAGCAAAATGTTTTGCTCCTTCGTTGATTATCTAAGGTGAACAACATCAAATCAAGAAGCCATGAACTAAAGCTTTCTAATTTGCAGAATAAAATTCGTAAATTTGTTAAAGTTTTCGTTTATTTTAGTATATGTTTTTATCGACTTTTTGATTTTTTTGCATATATTTTGAATAACAAATTTAGATTTGCAACTGTGAATAATTCCAAATACAAACTTAAATGATTTAGTACAATTTTTATGTCATCGAAAAGAAAATGAATGCATAAACGTCTTTAATACACAAGGTTAATAAATGTTTGATCCTGTGATTATGACATTTTTAATGCTATAGATTTTCAGAATAAAATATATAGACGGGAACATATATGCATTAATAAATGAACTAAACAATTTTTCTTATTTTGATCAGATAAAATACCTTTGAGTTAATTTTTTAAATTGATAACTACTTATTCTTTATATTATACAAATATCTTGAAGATAAATTCAATTTAAAATTTATGTTTTTTTTTTAAATAATACATCATATTATACACTTGTATGTACGTGTAGACATTTTACTTTACCTAAATGTTGTATAAATCTTTAAATAAAATATCTTTGTTTACATATGTTTATATTTTAATTTTATTTACATGTTTGTTGCGATCGTTATTTAAAATTTTGTATATTTACAATTAAATCTAATTATAATTACAAATTTCTATTAGTTGCATTGGTTTGCACGATGTCATATATTCGCTTAGAACTTTCTTTAAAAATTGACTGAAAGAGATGTTCAATTTTGAAACGATGTTCATAAATTACAGAAGCGACTAAAAAATTAGTCTGGCAATAGATCTTATATCTCCAGTTTGTTTATTATTTTCACTTGTACGTATGTACACAATTAAATGTAGGTAATGCATATATAATAATATAATGCATATACTGGCATATGTTTGTATATTCATGTTTAACAAACGCTTTATATTAATTTAAATACATACGGGTACTTATACATATTCAAATTACACATAAGTTTGAAAAGATCTTAATCACAATTAATATTGCTTTGCCATGTTTTATTTTTTTAATTCATTTATGCTAATACGAACGGCGTACATATTTTCTTCATTAAAGTTGCTTAAAAATGAACAAGTGCAATCGATTATTGGACTATAGTGTCAAAAATTTTTTGGGAAAGGAATGTATGTCAGGCTTAGGATAGCAAATAATTTATAAAGTTTCGTCCAATAGATCACACCTTAAAATTAAAATTGTGCAGCGCAATTAAAGTGCTATATTGGGCGATCTATTAGGCCGCCCGATATACGCTTTGGGAGTCCAATTTCAATTGACAACTAGCTGAAGGAACTAGGGGATTTAGATTTTGAATACAAAAAACGGTATTAACTAACACTAAATTCTTATGCTTTAGGTAACCAAAAAATATTCTGCCGACGTTTACGACGATAAAATGAAATGAATATTTATAATATTCTATAAATTTATTTCTTCAAATCGCACTCTATAACTTTTTTACCGCACCAACTTCATTGCATCTTCTTCTAACACCTTACAATTGTATTCACAACGCATATGTTTTAGAACAAAGGTAGATGTAGAAAACACATGCATTTTTTATCGGGAATGATAAGAGACGGTATAAAATACACTACCTCCTTCTTAAATGTATACCTGATGCAATCGTAAGAAACAAAAACGGAGCGATCGAACGTTCGTTGGCTAAAATTGCACAAAGTGTGGATAATAGGAATCGACGATTACATTTGTGGTTACCTCTTACAACTTACAAATATATAGGTATACATAATATTCTTTTCTGAGTGAAAAAAGAAACCTACATTAACAGTATCTTTGGCTTCAAAATTTAACAAATGAAAAGCGTTGCAAAATTTTGCCCCAAGAAATAAATCAGCATCGCCATCAGTATAAGAAGCATACAGTGTGAAATTAAATATTTCAAAATTCATAACGCTGATTGACAATTGCATTTGAAATTGGATTCAGGCGAGCAAATTCGAGTCGACAATGAAATGGTCACACATCATCGAGATCAATAATAGATGAACGATCGTTATCATCTCGATCGTATAAGTGTCACTGATCTATATGCATTCCAGGAGATTTTCGCTGCAATTCATCGACAGATCCAATGGAGCTACCGTTATGTTGCACCTCGAGACCGTTCACCATATTTTCTATGCTTTTCAATTCCGTTGGTGAATTAGTTCGCTTTAGCAGAGACGGTGGTGTAGTTGGTGACATTGAAATTGGCCGAGTAGGAGGCGAGTGAGATGAGGCACGAGGTCGAGGGCTAGAGCTAAGGCTACGGGGTCCATTTTCAGCACTTACGGTTCCGCTTATGTTGGGGCAATCTGACGAGTTGGTTCCAGTACGGTTTGAATTCGACCCTGGTGTTACAGCATCAAACGCGGATCCTAAACTGCCGGGTAAACTATATGGTGAAAATCGATGACCCTTAAGATTTTGTAATGGAGACGCTGGTGCATGTCCTGAGTAGTGACCAAATAAGGCAGGGTGCTGAGCAGCCAAGGCAAGTTGAGCATTAAAAAGTAGGCCGGGATTGAGCCCGGTAGGATTCATAGCTGTTGCTGGATTGTGGAGCAATCCTAAATGGGGGGGCGGGTAAAGAGCGTGGGGATAGAGATAAGGCAATAAATGCGGTGATGGATGTATAGGCGGGCCAACTGATATATTTGGTGCAGGATATGAAGCTGCACTATTTAGTCCAGTCGTTCCCTCCTTTGGACTACCCGATGATGTTGGTCTAAATGCTCCACCTGTACTACCACCTATACTTTCAGAACAACTTGAATCACTGCCGTCGCGTTCAACTTCATCTGATTGTAGCCGCCGTCGAAGAGCATCCTCAGTGTTATGATCGCCCGCACTGGCCAAGTGGTTGAACCAAGCTGCAAGGGCTTTGAATTGATTAGAAAATCTTATTCAATTAAGAGGGATTGCAAAGGGTAGACATTTTACTTATGCATATAAATAATTTCACTTTCATTACACTTACTCGAATGTTGGTGGGCGTGCATCTGTTGTAACGAATGACTTAAAGGCAGTAATGGGCTTTGAGGAGGTCCTACTACATCTAATAATTTGTCTTCCTCATCTTGTTGATTGTCGTGCAAAACTGCATGTGGGTGTAAGTGGTGCGGCGGCCGGCCTGTGTGTCCTAAATGCAGAGGGGCTCGTGTGCTACTGACATGAGTGGGATTAAGTTTATCCGAATCGGACCCGCGATTGGACATTAAAGCTTGCCTGTAACAACAGTTGGTACAAATAAGATGATTAGAATATCCAAGTGTTGTAGAAGAATAAAATAACTTTGTTCACACACACACACACACACACGATATACTTTCTTTATATTGACTGATACATATAAAAAAATAAATTAGTGGAAAAAATTTTATTGGTTCTCGCCGAAACTTTTAACCCACCACTTTTCTTCTAATAAGGATTAAAAAAAAAAAAAAAGTACATTTCGATTCTCTATAACATTGGGCGGATGTGGCTGATCTTACTCATTTTTGTAGAATATACTTAAAAGTTTTCATCGTATATCTATTGTAATTTACGAATAATGCATAAAAAAATCCAAAAAGCAGAGATCTTCTTAATTTATGTAATCGTGCCCTCTACGTACTTAGCCGACTTTCAATACTGCATGCAAAAATTTGTGATGTTTTCCACAAATTCGAACGTAATATCTTCAGACGCAAAAGTATTTGCCACAGAGCGCAAACTAATAGGGAAACGGATAGATGGACAAACTAACACACGGGCATGCTTACGGAGATTTCGAATTTGACGTTACTCAATAATAAGCATATCTCTGAAGCTGACTTCTGAACGGTATAAAAGTTTTGACAAAAAATGTAACTTTTACGTAATGTAACATTTGTAAAAACATTATAAGATCGCCCCAGATATTATGCGTGGAAGTTGTTATAGTTTCATCCGCCAATTGTTTTTTGCTTTTGAAAACCAAAGAATTCTCAATTTACATGGTTGGGTAAGTATGTTCTTTGACTGATTTTGCTCGTTTTCAATACGATCTCGCAAACTAGTCTTTCTGCGAATTTGAGGCCGATAGATTCATTTTTGCGGCCGGGGCAATGTCTTACCACAGACATCGATTTCACGGACAGACAAACAAACGCATATTTTTAAATCGATTCAGAATTTGTTAGTGAGCAAGAATACATACACTTTATGCGATTTTCGAGGCCTTTCCCTATGTGTGCAAACGTTCTGATAAAATTAGTACAACCCCATCCTTCGGCAAGTATACGAAGATACGTTCTTAGCTTTTGCATCGCGTTGAAAAAGTTAGGTATAACATTTTGCTCACTGCATTTATTAGGCTAAGATATACTCGTCAGGGATTCTACACTACACTTTGTAAGTTGTTTCTCGACGCCGAGTCAGATGGGTTTTGTTTATAAGCCAAAAATATTCGCGCAAGATAGATTATTATCTGGTTGTTCTATCTAAGCTTGTCGGGCTTACTTTCAACTTTGTTATTATAAAATTCTGAATCCGTTGTTGCAAATCTAGCAGCCGCATAAATTGATATATAAAACTAGAGCTTGGTACGGTCTTGAAGTAAGGTCTAGTTCGTTCCACGTTTGACCTAAGAAAAAAAAATGTGAATTTATAATGTTGAAAGTTAGATCATATCTTTAACTTGATAGTTGCTAAAAAGCTAAGCCATTCAGAAATTCTATGTACAGATGGTCTCGCGCGGTCGACTGGGGGACCCACCCGCAATTTCAAATTTAACTGCAATAAGAATGTAGGTTTCCTCTTTATTTTTTCCTACGTGCACACACATGTTTTTAATATTAGAACCAACGTTGTCGTATACATGCAACTTTTTATCGAAATGCGTCCATTTAGGAATTGCGAAAGGTGAAAATTTAAGATAAAAAGTTGGCATTTCACAATGTGGATTCACTTGAATGGTTAGTTTAGTAAAGGGCAGTGATCCACCCATTTATAGGCCCAAAATCGACTACAGCAACTTGGAAAAGGCCAAAAATATGTATTTCTTGTGAAGTTACGCTGAGATGAGACGTCTTTTCTAGATATTTTACTTGATAGCAGAAACATCTCTAAGAATTAATTTTTGGATTGTTTTGAACGAACTATCTCTTTTTAATTAGATAGAGATAGAAGCGTGGATTAAAAATATGACTTCCTAAAAGTTTGATTACATAGACTGTACTCAATTTTTTTTGAATTGGATAGAGGATGCATTTGTGAATATATCGACAGCAGAATGGAATTCACGTCTCAACAACATAACCTTAAAACGCTAAACTGTTGGTTCGAATAGACGCAAAAAATTATTACGAATGTGGAAAAGGTAACGAAAAGAACAGAGCGATGTTACAACTCCATTAAAGATAGCGTAATAATTATGTTGGTGGTCCTATATGTTGATTTAGTATAAAATATTTTTGTGTATATTTTTTTTTTTGTGTATATTTTATGTATATAATATGTATATTTTCTTAAGTGTATATTAAAAATCTATAAATCTATATAAATAGAAAAGCAACTGTTTATTTGTTCCAAACCTATAAACTGACAACGTTCTTTCCTGGTTGATCTGAAAGTTTGACACAACATTGCATTCTTTAAGGGATTGCAATTCCTAATTCAATTGGCGTTTACAATCGACATTAACAAAATATATGGTTGATCATTAGAATTGTGAGCGGCTGCGTCTTCTAGAGTCTGGAAAACAGTCAATCTTTATATCTGCGCAGAGAATGGACCAACGAAAAATATTGTATACCCATAAGCACTGCTAAATTAGAAGCAGTTGGTTTTCTGGTCTTATTTTTTCATTTAAGTAGACCGAGCTACAGCGACGTGTCTGTGGGTATAGTTACTTACAAATACAAATTATTTTTATGCAACGATAATATCTCATTTACCCGAATGACATAAAAAAGTCTAAGTGACAGTATAAAAACTATTCAATTGGCGTAAATTGGAGTGCATATGAAACGGCAACTAGTCTAATTTTAATTGTGGGGATATTATGATCGATCAACTTAATTTTTCCACGGAATTGCTAAGTGATGTTGAGAAATTTCAGTGCGAAATTTTTCAGGAATAGTTCCAAGAAATCGTAGATTTTGAGAAATATATAATTACATTTTCGTTTTTTCTCGACGTTATTAGAATTTTTTTGCTTCTTTTGAAGGTATTTGGGGTGGTTTTCGCCTTTAATCTCGTCGGTTTGTCAACTCCAAAACAATGCGCTAAATTGACGCTTTTTGGTATATGCGAATATAATTCACCCGTATCTCGAGATATGGAAAAAGCTAGAGGAAACTTGGGCCTTTAAATTGTAGTCTTTTCACATAATTAATATTCATTGAAAATTTCTAAAACTTTATGTTTTATAAGTATTTTTGAAGCTTAAAAATTGGAAAGCGTGATTTGGTGAGTCTATGTAAAATAAAATTTTTAGTCAAAAGGGATAACTTGTTTGTTATTATCAAGCTTCACGCGATTGTTCTACGTAGGGTTCAATAGGATTGAAATTGCCGCCCTATAAAACTGATTGGTACTTCATCGTATTTGTGTTTGCCTTCGTTCTGCGAAAGTTTCCTTTAAAATTTCTTTTAAAGTTTCTTTTCTTACTGAAACTATTCACTTCATTTCTTTGGTCTCATATTCCAACGCGTCCAGATTCGCGAAACGATTATATTTTCATTGCATATTTGTTCTGAAGTAAAGAAGATTATTTAGCATTTACGGCAATACAAATTCGGGTAAAAAGTTCCGCTCTAATAAAAATAACTGTCGTTAACACGAAGGGTAAACGGCCGCATCTTTTTGATAATTTTGTTGGAATGGAAGGCAAAGTGAGAAAAAAGTAATATTTGAGAGTGTTGTTAAGCACATCTTATTTCTCCTAATTTTTTTTCCTATTTTGTTTTCTTTACACTTCGTTTTTCTTGCGACTGTCGAATATTTAAATTAAAAAATTCAATATTCGATTAGCATTATGCAAATTTTTCGTAATAAAAAATGTTTAAATCACTAATTCGAAACCCTTTCTGCGTAGTGATCTTCAAAATATTATTTTAAAATTATTGTAAACAATTCGAATGAAAAGAATGATTGCCGTAGTTTGTTTTATGAGCCTTTTTAAAAATTATACTTCGAGAAAAATGCTTTTAAAGTATTGAAATACGTCAAGGACATGTTTTTTTATTTCAACAATTTTCAACCTCAACGCAGTGGAACTGCCCACTGAAGTTGAAAAATTGTTACCCATTCTCTTTCCTCGAAGATGTTACGTTACAAAATACCATTTTTGTCGCATCTGTCAATGATAAAATCGTCAGTTTTATATTTCACGTGTTACGTAATGGCAAAGAAAATGGCCCAAAAATGTATAATTCAATAGTCGAATTCATAATCGACGCCTAAAATTTCATCTCAAATTTGTAATTTCTTGGCAAAAGCACTGAAAACTTTCCAATTGCTGTCGTTCCGATTAAGTTTTGTTGATCTAACTCTGTTTGGGAATTTTTTTATATGAAGATAAATACTTTTTAAAATCGTAATGTTAGTGTATTAGAAAATTTGGTGATCATCAATAAAGATTTTAGGCTGCGATTTTGCACCGGGGATTCATTTGCCGTAGGCACACCTTTCGGAGCGTTTAGGAAAATTTTAAACAATAAGCTTCCTCTAGGTGGAGAGTTCTTTCCTACACATGTTAAAAAGTTCAAAGCGTCTACAAAAGTCGACAAAAAATAGAATTATTTTCTAAAAAAATTGGAGGTGTTTTCCTGCTTAAATCACTTGCCTCAAACAAATTCACATTAATAACGGTTCACTATTTATTCATATTTATCTTTTCGTTAATCACACGCAATCTCCCACAATTATGGCGTCATCAAAAAAATGTTTTTTTTTTTTTTTTTTAATTTATAATAAAAACTAAACGCAAAATATCTCAACGTATATTCACCTTTATTTTAGATATTGGTTCATGCCATTTTTATATAAAAACGCTTTCAAATAAACGACCATCTTTGAACTTTTTTAAAAATTTAATTGTGCAACACAAATTTTTCCCACTTTTCCACATTTGTCTGTTCTTATTTCAGCGCACGAATAATCTTGGTCATTGGTTAGGATCACCAAAGGGTACTAGTTTCTTGGAGTAAGCAAATACTTGAATATAACCATAAAATAAAAAGAGTTTTATTGCAAGTTTACAGATGCATTTTTCAAAATTATACAATCGTTGGACTTTTCTCGTAAAAAATTGATGATGCCACAAGATGAATTGCACGTTGCCAAGTTTTGTTAAAAATATATACCTTCTTAGCCGAAATCATTTAGTTCGTATCAAAAAAAATCAGTAATCATGCTTCTGTAGCTTTCTGCTTTAATGGTAACTGCAATGCCATTTTTATGTTCAAAATTGACATTTTCAGCCCACAAACCACGCCCAAAATTTGTTTCTTTTTACACCAGATGTGTTTTCTTTACACTAAAGGGGCAATAAAATTTATTTACGAAGTCATTTAATCAAATATGAGTTTCATCTCACATGCGCGGAACGCAACTGTGACTTCATTGTTTAGTAATAAATTTTACCTTTTCCTGTATTCTGTACAACTATGTATGATTTGTACTCCATACGTAATGGTAAGAAAAAATTTAATGGAAATCTTAATCAAAAGTGTATTTTATTTAGGTTTCCTTTCGGTACCATAAAATCGATGAGCCTATATAATATATTTTCTTGTTTTTATCGATGTTTTACTTTCGTAATTTACTTTAATTTCTATAATTTTACGATTAGTTTTTAATGTTTACTTTACCATCCCTATCGATTCAAACTTTAATTTGGTAATCGTGTCTTATTATATGTTTTTAAAGTACGTAGTTCTTATTTTTATGACAAAAATCATATAAAAACGTTGGATTTGTGGAATAGTTTTTTGTATTAACTCTGAAATGCTTTAATATATTATTGTGTTTTTCCTTTGGGACTTGAATATATTTATGAAAGCGTTTGCTCGAATATTGGTCTAAACTTCAAATATTTGGTTTCACTACTTAAGCGCACGGTTCTAAAACACATTCGAAATATTAAACTTTTATCCAATGCATTCTTTGTAAGACATTAATTTGTCACGTGTTCATTGGATATGTGCGTATATTATGCTTTTGAAATGGACATCTCCCTAGTTTACTATACATTGTTAATATTCTACATTTGGCATCCCAACCATAGGTATTGATTGGTTTATCGGGATTGTGTAAACTACAATAGTTCTCTCTGCTAAAAACATAAAACTTACCGGACTCGTTATGGAATACTCTCATTTATGTATGTAATTGCTTCGTCGGTTACTAATTCTTTGAATATTATTTACTTTTAGACGTAAGCAAGTGTTGAATGTATATAAAGTTACTTAACATACGTAATTCGAAATGAGCGTTTTAAAGATTCATCATTACATATAAGCTAAAAAGTATATTTAATTGAGATTAAAAACAATAGTTCTATCGAGTTTTTATAAAGCGGATTTTCAAAAAAAAATGGAAGTAAATAAAATAATATTGTGTTAATAAAGCTATATATGCAACCCTTTTCGTCTTTCTATATGTCCTTTGAACATACGATAATATTAGTAATAAGAACAGCCAAAGCTAATAATAATTCTGTGGTTTTGAGGCCTTCGTACTTGGTTTTGTTGTCCTGGCGACGATGACAATGCACTTTACTTTCGATCAACCCGCGAAATCTGTTATTATCACCACATGTAAAAGCGAAAATTTCAAAAGGTTAAGAATTTTTTTTGAAAGGGGTAAAGGAAAATATGAAAAGGTAATTTTTATGAAAGAGTCAAAGTGAAATCATGAAAAACATGCACTAATTGATGCTTTTTGCTGATACATATTTATACTTTAAATGTCGCCTTCTGCAAACATAATGGCGAAAATATGTAAGTAATATGAGTTTAGGTTGAAATAGCAACGCATTTTAAAAGTTAAAAGGTCTCTAGGCTAAATTAACTCCACTCGAATAAAAGTGTTGAGAGACAGAAAAAGTAAGAGGAAGCATATTAAGTAAGTTTAGAGGACCCCTGTTCTCAGCATTGATTGCTTACCACAGCTGCTACAACAATAGAGCATCTAAAAGCCGATTGTGTGAAAATATAAAAGCACCCGAGGGCGTTAGTTGACAAAACGTTTATTTTCTTAATAAACTGGATATTTCAATTGAAATGTAAAAAAAATCTCTTTTACTATTGAAAGACTGTGAGCGTACGAAAGCGTTTTAAAAGTAATTCAAGACGATGTGTTTGTTTGATCAGCAAACATTTAAGTGATGAACGAGAATATATAAGCGTGAGGAACAATAAAGAGGGTGTGTGTAAAAATTACGAATTCCGTGATGAAGTAAACAAAATAACACCGAAATTAAGGCATTACAAATTACAGGGCAACGTTTATAATACATAATCTCTCAATACCAGCATTAGGTTTTTATTAAACAAAGTAACATTAAAAAGCAGGCTTTTAAGGCGGTACAGAAGAACTAATATCTATTACGCTTTTATTATTTGGGAGGAATTGAATTTAGGGTGGTCGACAAGCTTAAATTGATTTCGGATAAAATTACCGTTGAGATAGATTTATACATTTATCTGCGTGTATATCTATGTGAACGGGAATGTACCATATACTTTTTTATATTTTTTCGGAAACGTTTTTCTAATTTCTTGGCAATTGCACTTTGGCAATTTAATGACAGAACTCGAAAATATGCATATGTGCTTCGTCTTTCAAAAACACAAACTTTGACAATAAAAGGAAAGGACGCTTTAGTATATGATTAGCAAAATCATTTTCCCATCAAATAAGAAAACATAAATGATAATAGCCCGATTCGTTTGTAGCATCTCATAATGTTAACATGAAATAGAAATCTAACTGGATATCTTTGCCCGTTTGCCATCTACTATGGGAGATCTAAAATTTACAAGAAGTTGACACTTTGTACAGATAACTTTTTAACAAATTGCTTTAGTGTTTAAGTTAATCGAGGTGTATGAAAAAAGAAAATTTAGAAAAATCTCAATTTGGTATAAACTTGCTGGATTAATTTAAATGTTTAGAATTAAGTTGACCCTACTCGATCAATAGCTGAGTAAAACATTTTCCATATTTTGTTTGTCGACTTAAGTAAATCGAAGAATGTCTAACCTTCATCTCAGAGCCGTCGAAATTATCGTGATTCACTGCGACATTATCTGGTCAAAGAAAGTGACGGTGCAATGTCTGAAATAATATTTCAAATAAAGTTTGCAATTATTTGTAATATTTTCAAAAATTATCGTTAATTGGTTTGAAATGGTTTCTTTGAACCAATCTTACGTTTCATTTTGCTAGAATAACGCATATGAGAGCGGTGAAAAAAAGATTTTTGGTCAATAACACATTGCCACTTAAGAAAACTTAATTAAAATATAAACCTTTCACAGAAGTGAATTTTTTGGGTGGCAATATAAAAATATGTAATGTCAAACAAACCTTAACAGCACGTTGGGATTTCTAAACCATCCAAATGTTGAGATTAGATGACTACTGGGTTTTTTACTACATACATGACATCCAAACGAAATTAGTTTGCGTTCTGCCATGAAGAATTGTAAAATTTGCCAAGGCAAAGTGATTGATTGATTTAAATTTCGGATTTCAATAAGCAACTATGGATTTTCTCAGCTAGAGATCAAAAATTTCATTGAAAGATATATCAAGATAATTATAACCGATTTTATTGTCGTCTGCAGTTTAATAAATTCAAAATATTCTCTAACTTTGTGAAATAAATCAATCAAGAAAACTACTAATGGCGCTAGACGAATATGAAATACTTATCATCTCAAATATATTTTTCTACCTGCAGGAATATTGATAAGCATATCTTTTCCATTTTTATTTTATCACATTAAATGCTGGTTCATGCTGAATCGTTTTAATGTTCAGTTTAAAATGCTTTGGAAGAATGAGTCCTATCTTTAAATGCGATCTGCGGACACTAGGAGACAATGACTCTGTAAAAATTAATTTCTCTCTCTCATTTCTATAGTTTAGAGGAGAACACGGGATAAACTATTGGTCATTACTACCTCAATTTGAGATCCCGCTTTAATCAAAATTATAAATGCTTTGAGAGGTCTCTGACACGTACTTCTTGGTATTGCAAACAGATTGATATTGTTTTTATATTTCATTTTTCGATAGTAAGCATAAAAATGCTTTTTAATAGATAACTTCGGAAATTTGATTCTAATGTAAAGCTTAATACTTAAATTTAAAGACATTATGCTATTTGTGCATTTGAAGCAATTAGGGTTGTTTTTGGTTAACTCTCATAATATCTACTTATTTTAGTAGAAAGTAAAATTACCATGTGTGTGTGTGTTGCAAAGTTGATAAATCAATCACATCTAAGAGAAGTTTCCATGAGCATAAATCGAAGCATTGTACTTTTTGTGACAAAGTCAAGGGGATATAGTTAAAGGAAGATAAAACAATATAAAACTATGTGCCACCAAAAAGCACGGGGGTTGCTATGTTATAAATGTATATTGTTATTAAGACGATATCTTGGGTTATTGTGAATAACAATTTTAGATTAAAATGAGTTTATAAGATGTGAGTTAATAATGTACATGTGTACTAATATCCAGGTCTTCTTGTCTATCTTGCTTCTGAAAAAAATTAAAACTACGAATTGAAAAATTTCATCATTTTGGTAAGTTAAACATATTCCTTCAGCAGAATTTGTTCGAAGTAAATATATTAATTGATTCACTTTAGTGATACTCACTTTTTTTCACGTTTGCCAGCACCTGTGTCTCGAAATCCCTTTGCAAAAGGATTGTTGTCGATTTTTAACTGAGTTATCTATAGAAAAGAAATAATATAAAAAATATCATAACTAAAACGAAGTGTATATCAACGTATATTTGTTTGTGTTAACACTGAATAAAAGAGTACATGGCATTGTCAGTGAGGTAATAAACATACCTTTTCATTTTGATATGCAGTCACAGCTATAAATTCCGTCTCTTTGAAGACGTACGTTCTAAATGTAGAATACGGTAGTTTTAGAATATCATTTGCGCGCACCAAATGAAAACGTGGTTGATATTTATGCATAGAATTGAGTATCGTCTGTAATGATGATAAAGCGAAAAGTTATTTTAGAATGTATCAAACTCCGCCGTATTTTTCCTGTCAGTTATCATATGCAAAAGTTCTTGTAGGAAATGTGCAGCAAGGCGTACTTATGTAATGGGAATAACTGGTGTCAGTATATGTTTCGTAGTTGTTTGGTTGGACAGTTTTTGCGAATAGTGAAGTCAAATCAGGACTTTGTGATGTAGTCACTCCAAATGCAACTAAAAAAGACCACCCACTGCATATGGTCTGTTTCGCAGTCTATCTTTGTTTAATATTCTGTTTGTTGGCATGTCCGTATATTTATGGGAGATGAAGTTATTGTGTGGCACATTTGCTATTAAATGTGATGTGTAGCCAAACTTGTATTTAGCTCTCTGTATTGCTATATGCGCACATATGTTAATGTGTGCTGTCATCGGTTATTTTGGTTTCTCAATAAAAAGGGAAAAATATCTCTTAGTTAGAGGCTTAAGTTTTGTATTCGATTGAGATTATCGTAAATATAAATTTGAATATAATTTTTCTTAACCGTGAAGACCTCACATCGAGCAAATCAAGCTTAGTTCATCAAAGAGGATGTTGTTATGGTTATTGTTTAAATTAAAACACATTTTAATTACCATTATTTTTAAGTCTGCGGCACGACAAAAGCTAAAACCTTCTTCGTTATAAATTATATTTTGCCAGAGTCTATTGGTTTTATAGAAAGTCATAAGCACACTTCATATGAACAAAAGGTTTGTAGCAACGGAATTGTAGGAAACGTTTCAAATGAAAAGACTAAAAGAACTTACAGAAACAAGGAGAAATTATATCTGCATCCGAATCCGCCTGAGTGGCCGAGTAGGCAAGAGTCTTGACTAGCAACGCAATGATCGTGGGTTCAAATCTCAAGTGCGGTAGAGTTTTTAATAAAGCCGAAAGCCTTAGATGCTAGTGCTTTAAGAGTTTAGTCTTAAAATTTATTCTTTGGCTAAAATTATAATAATAATAATAATAATAACAATATCTTCATCCGAATCTGTCAATAAGTTTCTTACACACAGCAGTAGATTGATTTTCATATGGAAAGTCGGCCCTTCTACACGAAATTTTAAAGTCACAATTGTGTGACGGCAGACGCACTTATCACGTCAACTTCGTTACTCTCGATAATATGACTTGTTGTTTATGGTGTCTCCTATACCTATTTCTATGACAAATCTAATGTAGTATATGTTGTGGATTAAACTGGAGAAAATTGGGAAATATAAAGGAGGTTTTTGTTTATTTTAGAGAACATTGCATTTCTCTTAAAGTGGCTATGAGTGTATACGAGAAGCTTAAGGTTTAAGGTTTAAATTGTCTATAAGATACTCAAACGTTTATTAAAATAAATGTAAAAGCAGAGATTTAAATAAGTCGTGGTTTATTTACAATAAAGGTAAAATAATTTTAACTTTTCCAAGAAATTTTATAATTTGCAGAATTTTAAAAGATCGGATACCAATCAATACATTTTAAATAAATATTTTTTGTTAATTGTGCTTTGATTTTCTCAATTTGTTGATATTACAAAAGATGCGTGTCGGCTGACCCGTCAGGCAACTGCTGCCTCTTCAGCAAGTGCTGTCGTGACGAAAGTTTCCTAACTTGCTATCAAACCAATACGCAAGAAGGGTAATTCCATTAATCCTGCTAACTGCCACCCAACTACAATCTGTTCTACAATAACCAAACCTATGAAAGTTATGGTTAATTGTCACCTTGCAAGATGTCTACAATTCAACTATCTGATTAGCGACAGATAACGTGGCTTTTGCCAAAACCGGTCTCTTGAATACAGAAATACCCCAAAGGCTCTGTTCTTTCTCCTTCCGTCAATGATGTTCTACGCGTGGCCGAAAGCCCTATTTACTTATTTGCGGATGACACCACATTGTGTCGCCCATAGAATTTCACCAAAAAGTCAGGCAGCGTCGATATACACAAAAAACACTGCATTGTTAGTAGTACAATAAATCAAGTCCTTATAAAAATAGCAGAGCGGTGTCGGGCTATTTGTGTAAACTTTGATGGTACCAAACAGTGCTATCTCTTATCTCATGCGGGGGGCAAAGAACAACCTCTCTACTTTGGTAGTGTCAATGTAGAAGAATCGGCAATCCTTAACGCTCTACACATTGCAAAACGATGTTCTTTGAACAGAATATATGAGTGCCGAAAGACGCAGTCAACAGCTTAGGTTTTTTAAAGCGTTGCAAAAAATACTTTACTGCGATCGATATAGTTACCATTTACATCGCCTACATCCGTGCAAAATTAGAGCTTAATTCGCATGTATGGACAGGACTTTCTTAACTTTACTTGGAGCTATTCGACCGCATAAAATGAAAAGCTAAGACACTTATATGCGACGGGAGTATGTTCAAAACTCTCAATATGCTTGAAAGTGTTCTACAGAGATAAACCACCAATTAAATCCATTAATGGGACATTATAATTTTTCGTGGCTTCGCACTCGTCCTGGAATTGCTTGCGTATCATACGGCACGCTACTATGAAGGCCATTTTGGAACCATCTATTAGTAAATGTGTTTCTTACGCTTTCAAGTTCCGATCTTTCACAACTCTTTACTTATAATCCTTCTTCCCACAATTGTGCCTGCACGTTTAAGGGACGTTCCTGAGTGGTTGATCATATATATATATATATATATATAAGAAAAAAAATTAGTAAATAAACAAACATGTTATGCTAAATGAAAGTAGGAGCAATTTCGCCTTTTAGTACATACACATGGGCCTTCACAAACAATCAGTCCTATATATGTCCTATCTAATTATATAGGGCCTTTTATGATATTAGATAAAATCACTTCTTCAACATGATAATAACGAACCATTTACGACAATTGAAAATTGAAGTGAAATAAATTATGTGTTACAACCATAAGATAATCTTCATCTGATTACCAAAAATCATTTACTAAATTCTTACATTAAGAACGAGGTTTCAATTAAATTGTCACTAAAACTGGCACCCATTTCGTCTGTCACATTAAATTGTTTTCAATTTAAGCAAAATGTTTAATTTATTATATTTCCACACTTTCATACAGAGGTTTTGTATGTAATCAACTACGAAATCACAGTCCTTCCATACAACACCATCACGTCTCTTTGATTGCAGTCTTCAAAGCAATTTACTCGTTATATCTGAAGTGAGTGCGACAAAACAAGTATAAATTGGAGGAACGGAGAACATAAAATTATTGCAAAAAGAAATCAATTGATCAACTTAAATAAGATCCTAAAGAAACCAAGATCACCAAGACATCAATGTTGTCAACAGCGACTGTAACAAGAAGAATAATTGTCCGACATTTGGTAAAAAGTATGCGAAGCGCTGAAGAGAAATAAATTATGTGACAATATTTTAACGATGACGACAAAAACGTATCAATCGGAAAAAGTCGATTTAAAATCGGACAAAATAAAGTAAAGCTGTAAAAACAAGCATTGGGTTGACACAAAAGTAATCAACGCGCTGCGATCGAGCCATTCACGCATGTTGGCGCAACAATTAATAAAATGTATATCATTGTGATTACAAAAGCTTACTATGCTGGTAAATTTGTGTTTGTCATTGTAACCGCCAACATTAACACCGTTAACAGCATGAGTTCCTCACATAGGCACTTTACGAAATTGTCGATCCATTTTTGGCAACTCGAATGGTGGACTAATAAAAACAAAAAAGGGTAAAGGAACAGATTTATTCTGTAACCAGAACGTGATAAAATGTTGAAAAATAAACTTCTTTCTGTGACTAATCAAGTCATTTTCTTATTAAACTGCAGATATTATTGTAAGCAACAAATTAGTTTTTCATTGGTGAAAGAGATTGATGGCGAGAAATCAATGTTATTTGTCAAAGATATTTAAGCATTCTATTGCAGATTATTAAGACAAGTCTATCAAACGCTTTGTTTTTGTTCGTTTTCGCTCTCCTTCAAAACAAAAATTTAGAATTATGTCTGCACACGGCAATAAGCATATTTTATTTAATTTTTTGAATATATAAAAATATAATAAATATATTTAAAACCTCATGTTTCACTGACAATCGATTACTGGTCTTACAACTATAGAACATATATTGAAATACAATTTTGCTATGATCACGATTTAAAGATCTTAAGCCGATAGCAGACTTTTTAAATGAATAGTAACTTTGCACACGACATTACAAGCTAGTCACGTTTTTGCATGCGTCGATCCAGCAATTGCAAATAAGCGGCAAGTGTTCAGAACATGTAAAAATTAGTTTCATCTATGCACCTAAAATTGTATATATTAGCCTATATATGTATGAAAGTATTTGAAAATATATGTGAAAAATATTCATGCATATAAATGCAGGTGCTTATGCCTTAATTTAATTCAGGCGTGACGTATAGTTGAAAGGGACTATTTTTTGTAGGTATAACTAACAAAAATCTAGAACATTTGAAAATATAATAAAGGATATGGATCGTTCAAATTTCCATTAATATTATTTCTATTCGATTTATTATACAGTATATTAACGCTTCATTTACTTGATTTGTCTGCAACACATTTTGCTTGTAATTTTTATGCTGTTCCTATTATACTAATTATGGGAGTTAGATAATATTGTTTAAACGGACAGCTGCAGAGCGTTTTATTATAATTTAATCTCTTGTAAAAATATATTCAGATACAAGTACACATAATTGTATTTACCTCGTAGGCCTGGATATCTGTTTATATGTGTATATACAATTGTATAAAAAAATATGAATGTAAATAGGAGGATGCCTTTTAATGCATTACAGAACGTACGTTTCTTCAGAGCGGTTAATTGCACATATAACTATCTCAAAGAGTTCAAAAAGTTTGTGATGATTATTTTTGTCTACTTTTGTTTGATTTGAAGTTTTTCTTATAAAGGCAATTTTTAAAAATCATCATATTTGTCACGTGCT